ATTTATAGCCTACATCCTTATTCAGCAAGTAGAACCCTGAATTATTCATCCTTTCATCCTTTGCTCTTTTTTTTAGGGGGGAGGGGAGGGGGAGGGGCGGTAATTTCTTAAGGCCAGTGATTACATTTTAAAGTCTGTTCCTTTTGCGCTTGTTTTGTTTTCAAGAATCGTTTCAGTTTGCCTTTGTCAGAAACCTACACCTGTTGGTAATTACTTTTTTCTTCTTCTGGGGGTACCCCCAATAAATTTTCCGGCCCTGCCGCACGATACGCGAGACCAGATACACTTCTGGTCGAGTCACTGGTTTATCACACCCCCAACTGATATCTTTTGACATGTTCAGCTGATCATCTGACTCGAAACTGGGTACTCCTTACATTGATACTATCAATTATGATCCTATGTGATTCAGTTCAAACTGCTGATAACACTGAGATATGAAGAGCGCATCTCACATTATTTAGGACAGCTCTCGATCAGAGCTGGCTTTGGGTTTGTACAACAGTGTAACAAACGCAGATTATGTTTCCAATCTTGCCTTGACGAGGGGAGATTTGCACCGCTCAGGGCTCAGGTTTTGCTCAGCTATTTGCCCACTGTAAGTAGACAGGGAATTTTTTTCAGTGTCAGTCTTTCTCTTGTATGCTTTAAGTAGACCGATTTTATTTCAAAGTCAGTCTTTCTCTTGTATGCTTTAAGTAGACGGATTTTATTTCCAAGTCAGTCTTTCTCCTGTATGCTTTAAGTAGACTGATTTTATTTCAAAGTCAGTCTTTCTCCTGTATGCTTTAAGTAGACGGATTTTTATTTCCAAGTCAGTCTTTCTCTTGTATGCTTTAAGTAGACGGATTTTATTTCCAAGTCAGTCTTTCTCCTGTATGCTTTAAGTAGACTGATTTTATTTCAAAGTCAGTCTTTCTTCTGTATGCTTTAAGTAGACTGATTTTATTTCAAAGCCAGTCTTTCTCTTGTATGCTTTAAGTAGACGGATTTTATTTCCAAGTCAGTCTTTCTCCTGTATGCTTTAAGTAGACTGATTTTATTTCAAAGTCAGTCTTTCTCCTGTATGCTTTAAGTAGACGGATTTTTATTTCCAAGTCAGTCTTTCTCTTGTATGCTTTAAGTAGACGGATTTTATTTCCAAGTCAGTCTTTCTCCTGTATGCTTTAAGTAGACTGATTTTATTTCAAAGTCAGTCTTTCTTCTGTATGCTTTAAGTAGACTGATTTTATTTCAAAGCCAGTCTTTCTCCTGTATGCTTTAAGTAGACGGATTTTATTTCAAAGTCAGTCTTTCTCCTGTATGCTTTAAGTAGACTGATTTTATTTCA